AAGAGTTCAACTGAGAAAAAAGCCAAAAGAAAAGCCAAAAGAAGAGAGACTTACGCGATGTACATCTATAAAGTTTTGAAACAGGTGGGTGAAGAAGAAGAAAGGCGCAACGAACCTTACGGCTGCCTCGGTTTTCTTTGTCCTCTAATTAAGTTGCATGGCAACCCTTCTTCCTGCCCTCAGGTTCATCCGGACACGGGGATTTCGAGCAGAGCCATGAGCATCATGAACTCCTTCGTCAATGACCTGTTCGAGAGGATTGCCACAGAAGCGTCCCGCCTGGCTCAGTACAACAAGCGCTCCACCATCACCAGCAGAGAGGTGCAAACTGCGGTGAGGCTGCTGCTGCCCGGGGAGCTGGCTAAACACGCCGTGTCTGAGGGAACCAAGGCCGTCACCAAGTACACCAGCTCCAAGTGAAAACTTCCAGTGCGTTATGTTGAGGAATTTAAACTTGAGAGTTGGCAGATTTGTAAGCTGATCATTAAAATAATTCACAAAGCCATGATCTTCTATTTTCTTTTTTTCCCTCCCCCCCCCCAATAAAGTAAAGCCATCGTGGCTGGTGTCGCCACTAGATGGGGTAATTGCATCTATCTCGTTCAGATGCACCTTCAAAGGGGACTTTTGTGCATTTCATCCTTGCATAAGTTGTATACCGCAGTGTGATGGCAAACTAGAAATTACTCATTTGGAAGCCAGTAGCACTCCGCATTTAAACATTAACATTCCTTTCACCGGCTTGATAACTTTTATAAAAGCCAATAAAGTCAATACAACAGCAATAACCCTTTAGAAATTCTACCTTAGCAACCCATTAGTGCACTGAATGCTATCATGTTTTGTCGGGGAGCTTGAATATTTCTATATATCAAGAATGTCCAAATTAAGCTCCATTAGCGAATTTTCTCTTACCACAATGAGCGAACATGGTGTGGTAGAGGTCTGCCATATTTCACCGGTACAGTCTAATGTATGGATCTATATGTCTGCTGGATGCCGTCCATAACAAACCTATTGAAAACATGGTTCTGATTAAAACATGACATCACACTTTCTTTCTGATTACAGATGCAGATTACAACAGCAGCAAGCACAGGTGGGCACTTAAACAGGTGTCTCCAGTTTCACCATGTAAACTTGAACCTGATCACTGCCAGGTAATATCGCCTTGATTTTTTAACGTATACTTTCTATTATGATTCGAGACCTCATAGTCTGTACGACCACAAATAATAGTCTCTTTTTCACTTCAGACATCGTCATCATCATCGTCATAACAGTTTTGATATTATCAGAAGCACCTGGGCGGTTGTAACTATGAAAAGTGACGTTAGAAAATTAGCTAAACTATAGCTTAGCTAGCTAGCAAGTCATGCTGTTAACCCTGACGACGATGAAAGAATGAAGGGAGGTTTATTTAACATGTGTGAGTGTATGCTGACTTATGCCATGTACTGAAACAAAAAAAGTGTCTTTGGTTTTGGTCACTAATCATTTGAACTCATTTCCGGATTGTCTGTCCAGCTACGAGAAAATAGAAGAAGAAAAAAAGTAAAAGAAATAATTTTTAAAAGTTATTTCTGAAATTTTGTCCATCATGATAATGGAAAAAATGAGATGATAATTTTATAAAATAAGAGCAATTACTTAATTGAAGGAAAACTTAGTGGTGTTTATAAGTTTCGAAGTTTGGTATGTTGTCAACATTTGTTTTGTGTTGTTTTTGACTAAATACACACTAGCCCTCTGTTTACTTATATTTTAAAATACAGCAATCTTTTCACTTATGATGAAGTTCATGCAAACCTCTGCAAGATCTTTATCTGGCTAGGTCATCCTTAAAATTGAAATATTTATAAACTAACAGAGGAGATAAAGCAACACTGTGTCCTTGTTATGCATTATAATCAGGTTTTTAAGAGACGGCACCATCAGCTGAATGCTACTTGATTACAGGATAATGACACTAGCGTTTGCACCAGTTCAATCTGCATAAAGCGGAGGAACTGATAAAGGTCTCTCTAATTAGGATGGTGTTTACATCGGGCTTTACATACACCTATTAGACTGCACTTATCAACGTCCCACAAAGCCAGACTTACTGTGATAATGCAGGTTGCCACTGACTGTTATTGTTGAGATACCATCTCAGATATTTCCTAGTATTCTTGGTAATGATATGAAATCTAGAGACGTTATTATGAGGGTGATACGGCCTTTAATGGCAGTGACTTTGTTCATAATAATCGTGGCCATTTAGGTTTTGTGTCTTGCACTCTTCCCCATATCCCCTCTTATGCCCATGCCTAGTAGTAGTCATCGCCGTCTCCTTTAGGCAGACTGCTATGAACACATTATGGATGGGTGCATTAGTGAGTGATGCAGAGCCTGGGATGACTTGCCTTGTTTTCATGTGAGAGTGCATCATTAGAAAATGTTCCACTTGGCAGGGAAGCGCGTATTAACTGCAACCGCAATGAAATGAGGTTGTGATAGATGGTTAAAGTTATACAGGACTATTAGGTTGAAATATGAACCTCTCAATTGTCATGATGAAACAGAGGGCTATTTGCGTGGTGATCAGTGCATTGAGAGACAATTGGAATCTGCAAAGACCCATACAATACATTATAGGTAGTGGGCTAAGGGCTGAAAGAATACAGAAAAAGTAATCATGCTTCCACTGAATGGTCTGGGGCTACTGTTCAATTCAAGGCTCTATAAATTCATTTAGGTTCTTCACCAACATCTCAAGCATTGTGATGAGATTTGAGGAAAATTTGCAAACAGGAAACCTCACCTAAGCCCAGTTGTAGACTTTTATGTGTCACATGTATAGAAGCAAAGCATTGCTGATTAGTTATCCAAGATGTTTAATGGCATGAAATATGCAAAGCAGATTGTGTGTGCCTAGCTTAATACGACTGGATGGACTATAGTATGATACAAGGAAAATTAGAACAAGTGAGCCCGGATTAAAATCGGAAAATACATACAGTAAGTGCAACAGCTAGCTTGTCTTTAGATAATGTCAATAGCCAATTAAACTTGCCTATCATCTCTTATCAGTTGTTCCACGACCTGAATGCAAACTTCATGGCAGAGACATGTGCTGAAATGTGTATCTAGCGTATTAACCAGCACAGAGTTGCTCAGGCACTGATCTCGCTTTTTCTGATAGGAATAACATGAAATAACACATAAACCACTAAGATAAGAAACACCTGATGGATAATTGATCCATGTCTAAACTTGGACGGTCTTTCTGACTCTCTTAAGCTAACAGCAGAGCCAATTGCAAACACATTAGCATTTAATATTACTGTAATTACTGTGTACATTTCATTATGTTCCCAGTATATTAAATGACTGCTCAGTGTGGAGGGAGGGCTATAGTTTAATTTCTTTCTGTAGTACTGTGGCACACAGTACTCAAAATAGCATTAAGAGCCTCATAATCAGAGGGAACTAATTGCCTATGATTGCATAAATGAAGTGCCTCGCGCTCATCAGGGCCGTTGCTGATGTCCAGCCTCTTACTGACTGCCTTGGGATAGGAAGGTGGTTGACCACAATGCAGAAAGCCTTGGAGAGGCAGCTACTGGTGGGTAATGTGAGGAAACCATAGATTTAATATGTCCACAGGGGGCTGTGAGGGCAGGGGGTGTTACTGCTGCTGATGTTTTTTTGTTATCATCAGAGTTGCCTCCGCTTCACAGAGAGAGAGAAAAGGGGGGAAAAAAGGAAACACGAATGCCCACCATTTGAGAAATGAATTTATCGAAGTGGCTGTCTTTTTCCCCATTAGTAAGTGTTTAGTTCAGCGTTTTAAATAATTGCGTTACCAGGAATGATATTTAAAATACATTTGGGAGTCAATGAGGCGGGAAAGTGCCTACATGTTTTGCTGATGACACCCGGGCCATTTGGAAGACATCAAAGTAGAGAGGAGGTAGCCCAGATGCATATTATAAACTCATTATGTATATCATTTAAAAGGATGTACTCCAGCCGCAAAAACAATATTCCTAGTCTCTCTCTGGTAATGTGTGTTTTCAAAGTTGAAACTCTTACTCGCCTTCAGTTTAATGTGGCATCTATTACCAACTGTAACATAAAATAAATGACCTTGATTTCCATACCAGAACAGTCGTTAAGGTATAGATGAGATGCGGCTCTGCCTCTGTGTTTTCGAGTAGAAAAGAAGGTAAAACCTCTTCGCCAATATCGTGTATTTCTCCACCTGTGGCGCAAACTTTGTTTTCCGCAGAGCTTGCAGGCATAATAATAGACTCCAACATGAAGGCGGATAAATACACCTTAAAAAGTGTGTTTTTGATACGCAATGTATCAAATACTGCTAAAATTAGATGGTGATGGTGTCAAATTGAAGGTCACCCTTCCATCCTTGGTGTCTACAGAGCTGTGGGATCTGTTTTGTTTTGGGTTTTTTGTTTTGTTTAGTTTTTTTCTGCTGGGTAGAATTTCTACCACTGGAAAATGGTTGTTCATCAGTCAAAAGAGATGTTTGTCAGATGCCTAGCGAGTAGGCTTAAGAGGCTTAATTATGTGCCGTCCCTCCGCCATCAGAACACTACACGTGGGGCAGAGTGACACAGCGGTTGCCAGTCATTCAGCCTAATGTTCTAATGCAGGGAGCCATGTGGATACATAAAATCCATTAAAGCTCTTGGAAAAAAAATACTGAGCTGAAAAAGGCATTCTGCTAGCTACTCAGGGGCTTACAAATAGGGCATTCTTATTTGCTCTTCCTCTAAGAAAAATGTCATGGCAAAATCTGACCTTATAGGTCTGGAGATTTTTTATTTTTTAACATGTTTTATTTTTTTTTTTGTTAAAACAGTGAAGGTGAACAGTGGACAAAAAGGTTCACATCCACTGACTTTTCAGACTTATTATGCTCAATAGATTTAAAGTAGGGAAAGTTGAAAGAACCACACTGAAAATCAGTAGTTTTTAAGCCTCCTCTTGGTAAAGTTTTGCTAAATTACATGTAATTTTAGTAAACATTGTATTACTTTTAAAACAGCATGCACTGGGTTTGATACTAGCAGCCTAACAGAGAGACTTTATAACTTTGCTGGAGGCAAACAGGAGAGGTTTGAGTGGCTGCGTGTGAGACATAAAAATAGCATTTACTTGTCACGCTGCAGGGAGGGTCTCATGCCGAATATCAAAACAACTCGGTGAATCAACCCTGTGAACAGCCGGCGGGTACAAAGTGGACATCAGCCAGAGAGAGTGAAATAACAACAGAAACAGAGAGAAGGGACTTGTTAGACATAATCATACACATATCGCACAACAAGCATGTCGAGAGGCAGCTTTGTCTTCACGTCCATGGCCTTGCGTTCTCTTGAACTTGACAAGGACACGCTAGAGAGATACAAGTACAGCAGGCAACTTGCCTCTCATAATCTGAGTAGCTATATGCTGAAGAAGGAGGCCAACAACAGAGCACTGCTGAAGTCCCTGCCACCAGCTGTCTGCCACGATGTGGTCATCCACAATGCTTTGTATACAGGAGACCTGGAGGCTATACAGCACTTTTTTCCTAGAGGATCCACAGCAAACCTCATCATTGAGCCACAGGGAGGGGAAATGCGCTGGGCTGCCAGAGGGGAAGGTAAGAGACAACATCTGTCTTCATCAGTGATCTAAGAAGTCACATGAATCGGACCGTATTTTCTCGAGATTGGCATCCAAAATCAGTATGGTTTGAACACAACCGATATTTCCTGTGATTTCACGAAAAAACTAAAGGCAAAAACATATAAAGAAATCACTGCTGTGCATTGCTGAGCAACGTGCATCTGGCGCCTCTCGCTCGATAAATCAATGCAATATTTATAGCCACAGAACCCGAAGAGCTATTTATAGAAACCATCATATGCCCACCACATAATCAGACCTGCGAGTCATCTGTTTGTTCTGTGCAACAGGACAATCCATTAGATTCAGTTGTGACCCTTCCATTAAAGACTGAGTCAGTGTCCGCTTTCAATAACTTGTTTCGTCACTGGAAAAACATCATGAAGGACTTTTTTGTTGTTGCTAAATAATGTGTCACTTCTAATTTCTTAGACTGCAAAACTGTATTAGCTGGATAATTAGGCAGGTTACATGCAATGCAGTCATTGGCTCTCATGCCACTGGTTCAAAGGGTCAAGCACAATATCACATAACACCTCCCTGAAATAGCCCTGTCTGCACAAACAACCTGCATAAGTGGTGCTTCAGGAGAAACCTCACAACTAATACATTTTAAAAACAAACTAGTTCGCTGTAATATGGCTTACGTAGCACCTAGAGTGAAGTGGCGCAAAAAAAAGAAATACAGAGAAGATGTGATCGCCACAGCCAAGGCTACAGGTTGTATCCTGCAGTTCTGGAACTCTTTGCTCGTGGGCGATGAGCTGACTATCCTCGGTATCGTGGATGATGATGAGTATGGCTACCTTATTGATGCAATTTATGACACCAGCAACTTGGAGGAGTGGAAGAACTTTAGATTTAACTACAGAGGCCTGAGTAGGTCCTTGATTTTTATGTTTAATCTTGCATCAGCAAGGTTAAACTAGATTTTGGTGAAACATGTTATGAGTACATTAAAATGTTACGCTGTATACCAGGGATGTCAAATTACATTGAGGGTTGCATACAGTCCACTTTGATTTTAAGTGGGCGAGACGGGTGAAACTCAACTTTGTCAGTGTAAGGATGTTTAACCAAACATCTGATCCCAGAGGTACCTTAATATAAGATAAAGAAGTGTAGTTTCAACATGACATCTCAGTTTTTCCCGCATGATAAATGTGTAAAAGTACAAAAAAATGCCTGGTAGCTCAGACTATCATGTATTTAAAAACCTAAGGTTTTTGTTCCACTGAAAGTTTTATGTTTTAACCAAGAAAAACAGGTACTTCTCTGTCATTTCATTCTTTATCTATTACTTAACTATGTCTATTAGTTTATAGCGGGAAAAGCTGTAAAACATATAAAAATACAGTTGAAAATCCAAAAATGTATTCCCTATCTAATGTTTTCCAAAAGCCATCCCCTGGGCTGGATTGAAGCCTTGCCATACCTATTCTGGCCCCCAGGCCTTATTTTTGTCACCCCTGCTGTATACTATATCTGCTGAAGCATATATGTGACATGTATACTTTGACAGTGGTCCTATGGCTCTAGTTCAATGTTGTCTTCATGACACTTTTGCTCCCTGTTGGCAGGACTGTGGTCACTGACTTATGAGCAGGAGCTGACGACACCGCTTCACATCACAGCTGGCCGAGGCTTCGCGGACTGCCTGAGGCTCCTGCTGCAGCGCGGCGCAGATGTTGACCTAGCACCTGGCGGCACCACTGCGCTGCACGAGGCTTGTGAAAACTGCCAACCAGAGTGTGCCAAACTCTTGCTGATGCACGGTGCCAATGCCAATGCTGTCTCAGAGGACGGCCTTCTGCCTTTGCATGTTTGTACAAGCCCTGAATCCCTTGAGTAAGTGAAATCCAGTAAAACTATGTAAGGGTATTTTCATTCCTCATCTAGTGCAGTCACTCTTAAGCACCAGTACTTGAACTTGTATCCTTGTAGCTGCAAGGTTATATAAAAGCAAACAAAACCCCTGAGTATATTTACCTGAGCAAAAGGTGTATTTATTGCAGAGTAAACATTCTGTTGTTTCTGTCATTTCCTCCTTCAGGAGTTACATATTCCAGGAGCAGGAGGTGAAGCTACAAGTGACAGTAAAATATATTAAATTTGGGACTGCTGCTGCCCCTAGTTGTAAATTTTGCTGTAATATAAACAGCTGACAAAAAGCATAATGCATTAAAATGCCTTTGAATCTGAAAGGAAAAAAAAATCTAAAGTGTAGGAACAACTGATCTACCTGATTCTATTAATCCTGTCTGCAGATGTGCCAAGTATCTCCTTCAGTATGGAGCTGCAATCAACGGCTGCACTGTAGATGAATATGACACTCCTCTCCATGTGGCTGCCAGGAATGGCCTCCCAGACCACACTGAGCTGTACCTGCGTCATGGAGCTGCTGTGGACAAACAGAACTATGAGGGTCTCACCTCCATCAATTCTGCTTGCTCACAGCCCCAGGAGGCACAGGATCTCCGTAATTATTTCAAGGTGTGTCAGATACTGATAAACGCAGGGGCCAACATCCACACTGAGGAACAGGACAAACGCACTCCTTTGCACATGGCCTGTAAGAATGCGAACCCAGACATAGTGGATCTGCTGCTGGAAAATGGGGCCTGTGTTAACAACATGGACTATGGAGGTGAAGCTCCAATGCACAACATCCTGAAGGTGGTGGCCTACAAGATTTGCCATAGTCCTGAGAGGATTGTCCGCTCTCTGCTCAACCACGGCTCCATTCGGGTGTGGCCCGGTGCTCTTCCGAAGGTAGGGACCCAAATGCTTGAATATTACATGGAATCAGAATAAAACGTGTGGAGAAGCATGCTATCACGGCTACAGCCAATTATTCATCAAGGTGGCTCATTTTGCATAATTAGCAAGTACTGCACATGTAACACCTTGACTAAGATTTCTTTGAAACACTACACTGTTCCTTGCGATATTCCAGACTTCACAACTTCACATTCAAATCATTACCATCTCATGGCACAACATGAAGTGTTGCACTCTCAGCGGGAAACAGACTACAACTATCAGTGAACCCACGTGCACTACACAAAATGCCTGGTTCCTAATTAGGCAAGTGTTAATAGGAGATTAATTAGCACTAATTGCATAATTTCCAGTTAAACCCCTGGAGGGAAGACCAATCTGTTCATTTCACAAGTGTTTAATTACTTTATTTCTTCAGTTCTATGGAGTCACATGCTTGCTCGTGAACTTAAATGTTGATTGTTTAAATCGTACTGCTTTGCTCTGAGTTGTGATGCACCTTGCAGGTTTTGATGCACTGCTCCAAATCGCCACGCACTGTTGAGGTTCTCCTGAATGCCTACAGTCACCTCAAAGTCACGGACACCTGGGTTGAGTCCGTGTCAGAGGAGATGTTTAAGGCAAGCTTTTTAAATGTGAAATTATGAATTAGGTTTACCATTTTTTAATTATTATTATTATTGTTATTATTATGTTTAGTTAAATGTTTTAGTCTTCATTGTCTTTAAATTAATACTTTTAAAGTGACCCATCTCAGCCATTTAGGTAGAGAAAAATATTGTAGTTTCTTATAAATATGAGGGCTTTTAAAAATGAAAAGAACATTAAGTAATTTATCATTATTTTATATTCAGAAAGATATTTTTTAATCATTCATTTTTAAATATAAGCTGATTGCAAAACTAAACTCAGAATATCAAAGCATCAATATAGAGCCATCAATCTAGTATCAGTTCATCAGTTAAATCTATTTTTTGTGTGTTTCTGTCCAAAAAAGGAACACAAAGAATTTTATGAGTCAGTCTTCTCCCTGGAAATGACTCCTCGCTCGTTGCAACACTTGGCTCGCTGCAGTCTCAGGAGATTCCTGGAAGGCCGGGTACACAAAGTGGTCCCAAAGCTCGATCTGCCCAAGTTCATCAAGAACTATCTTCTCCTGGATTTCAGAGGATACATTCACTAAAAGTCCAATCTGAGTGTGAATATTTGTACCAAATATCGATGGTGAGAAAAGTCCAACAATGTGAATCAATACACAGATTTTTCTTTAGGTTGCGTGCTGCCATATATAAGATTTTCAGGAGGCAGACGCAGAGTCGTTTCCTGTCATGTTTTGATCCATGTCTCAGCGCAGAAACACGTTTGATGTTGCACCACAAGAGGGCGCTACAGACTAGAATTATTAAATTATGCAGTGGGGCTGCAGCTATATTGGTTTATATTTTCTTTACTTTTTTGATCACTTTTTCTTTTCTTTTTCTCTTACTTTTACACTTTAATTTAAAAAGGACGACTTGCTTTAAATTGTATACATAGTTATTATCATAGGTCAGCGCTAGGGAGCATAGTAATTATGTTTTGCACATCGAGTATTGCTATCAAAATATTTGCATTAATCGTTTGAGATGCCTGTAATTATATGAATATATGATTAAAACAGGCTTTAAATGAAAATAAAGTTTTCCACTACTGCTGCATGATCTGGTCATTGTTCTTTTCATGTTTCGTGTTTTTATATTTTTCTGTCATGTTTTTGCTTGTAGTCATTTTTCTCTGTGTGGGTTTACTGGCTGTTTTGTCATTGCCGCGTTTTTCTGGAAATTACTAATTTATAACACAAAAATATTTTAGGAAGCACCGGTATCCAATCCAGTATGCCCTCAAAAATTTAAAATTGAAATCAAATTAAGCAGAAATATGTTGAATAACTTTTAGAGATATTTGAATGTGTGTTGTGAAATTATTTTTAGATTTGGTTTTTGAGGTTAGAACAACACGGGCGAAAAAAAGAGCGCTTCTTCTGTTCCATTACTTACTGGGTGGAAAAGTTTAGATGGAGACGATCTGGACCTTTTTAAAATTATTACACGGGGGGAAAACAGCTTTAATGTGAATTTATAGACAGCAGATAGAGGTTCGGTATCATTTTATATCCCTGCCGTATAAAACTTTGTTTTTAGTCATAAAGAGGTTGAGAACATAGGCCCTATTTTAACACAGTCTTGATTGGTCTTTAAGAAATGAAACAGGCAATCACAGAATTTCGTTCACAAAGCGCGCAAAGAGCAGCAACGTAAACTCAGAATAACCCGAAAAAGAAAGGAAGACGAGCTCGGCAAATGGTTTCAGTAGATCAAAGCGAGGTGCTGCTGAAGTCACTTGCAATTATAAGAATTAGCCTGCCCTGGCCCTCCACTGCTAATCAGAGTCGGTGGTGATATGTTTATGTCCTCATGCAATCAGACGACCAGTTGGAGAGCCCGGGCACCCAGGACTCAATAGGGCTAATCATCATCAGTTCCCATTGCCATTTAAAAGGTGAGATGATCTGCGATTAAACCAGTGCTTAAGAAAAGAGATTTTTTTTTCTTCCCACCCTATGCGACTTTGATCAGGGACAAATTACTTTTCCAAAAGCGCACAGTAAAATTAGTGCTTTATTTCGTTTCTAAAAAAAGAAAGAAAGAAAAAAGCACACGTTGTTTTAATTGGCATATGGCCAGCAAAAGAGATTAAAGTTTATAGATTTATAGATTTAGATTTGGGGATTACCGGTAGTAACTTTAGCCACTGTGAGTCTGTGTCCACACTGAAGTTGACCTCACAAACGGCTTTTATCTGAATCTAATTTCGCAAGCAGCATCTCTCTCTCGCTCTCTCTCTCTACCTCGCTTGCTCTCTCTCCGGGGAGCGATTGTCGTGGCACTTCTTCTTTCTGAAGCCAAACGCATTGTTTTTAGCCGCGGAGAATGGGAGAAACATCTGCCTCTCCTCCCTCCCGACTCTGATGCCCATCGGTCCCAATATTTCAACAAAAGCCACCGTTGTTTTATGCTGTCCCTTGAATCCAGAGTAATTACTTATCATCAATCAAAATTAATAATAGCTGATTGGGTTGGTGTGGTCAACGATTATAGAAGGGGAAGGGCTGGAACAGTCTCTCACACCGTTTTGCAGTCAATGGTGAACCTGGCAAAAGGGGAGGAGGGCTTCAGGAGGGGTGGATGAGGGGGGGTGACTCGTCTATTTGGTCTCCACTGGGAAACTACCGCCTCTCAAGACGGCCAAAAAGTCAGAGGCTGAATAAGGAAATGAAGCGTAATTTGAGGAAGATGGATGAGCCCCCAGGGAAACACCCCCTTTTCATTCTTCTTGTATTGCAGATGATAACCAATGCGCTCTCGCCCTCTCTTTCCTCGCGCACACACACACTGTGCATCAGAGAGGGGTGAAGGGAGGAGTTGGAAAGAGGGGACAGATAGAAAGAGGGAGCGTGTGTTTATGTCTCAGTGTGTGACAAATAAGAGGGAAAGGGTAGCGCTGGTGCACACAACAAAGCGTCCGACTGACTGAAGCATTTAGAGCGCAGATATCCGAAGAAGAGGTCTACTTCCAGGGATGACAACACAGCAGAGGATCTACTTTCAATTCACGCTCTCTTTAAACTGAAAGTTTTGCTCGTCGTCGACGGAAGGACATTTGCTTTCAAGTTTTCACCGAACAAAAGTGTTTGCCTGCAAAATGCAGCGACCAGGCGGGCAAGGGACGGCGTTTTCAATCGATTCCCTGATAGGGACCCCTCAGCCCAGACCGGGACACCTGCTCTACACGGGCTATCCTATGTTCATGCCATACAGACCTTTGGTTATCCCACAAGCTTTATCCCATTCTCCTTTATCGTCTGGTATACCTCCACTCGCGCCATTGGCTTCTTTTGCGGGACGACTCACCAACACGTTCTGTGCCAGTTTGGGACAGGGGGTGCCGTCCATGGTTGCGCTCACAACAACGATGCCAAGTTTCTCGGATCCCCCGGACAGTTTCTATCCACCACAAGAGCTGCCTGGTCCACGTTTAAGCGCTGCCGACCCGGGAGCGAGAAGGCAAGAAAGCCCACACTCCGAGGAGCTGCACAGCCGGGACAAGAGCTCTGAGATGCTCAACTTCTCGGAAACTTTTCAGACAATATCAGGTAGGCTCAACCACTTCTACAAGTCATTCTCTTTCATTATATTTAAGCCTCGGGGGCTGCCGCGTAAAAGTGACCACTGTGCGTAAAATGCGATAAAGCGGAGATTAGTGGCCTCTTGGGTGAAGATGAATTAGCAGGTATGGTGTATAGTTCTAGTTAATCTCATCTTTTCACATTTAGAGCTCTTGATTAAAATGCATTTTACTAAATCCTGAGTATGCAGCATAAAGCGAAGCTTTATGAGGGAACTGCCGTTTCAGGCACATTTGCTATTTTAAAAGGCCGTATTTGGAATGATTTCTGAACCAGTCTTGATTATAGCATAAAACAGAGCTAAATGCCAAGAACTCCAGTCTATACGTGGATGCAGCATTTTCTAAGTTTCTCAGTTGCGGTGGAAACTTATGGAACAACTGAGTGACCACAAACAAACCGCTGATGATTCAGCATGACTGATCTGATTTTTTTCTGAAATTTCAAAAAAAGAAAAAAAAAGTTCTTTCACATGATCTCTGCCAGCCTTTTTTCCCCAAAACACACCAAGTGTCGTCCAACGTTGTGAGACATCTGCAGCTGTCACCGCTGATTTGCGGGATCATAAACTATAAAATCACTAAATGCGTATGTTTGCGTGTGTTCTTTGTTTATCTTCGCATTTTAGGCGAGACCAAACTCTACAGTTCAGACGACGAGAAGCTGGACCTAAAATCAGCAGACACCGTTTGCAGCGACCGAGAGGACAGCTCCGCGGACAGCGAGAACGAAAGTTTCTCGGACGGCAACAACTGCGGCGCCCTGTCCCAGAAGAGCAAACTAAAAACGGGCTCGCAGGAGGCGCTACCGACCGGCAGCTCAGCAGGGAAGAGCCGGAGGAGACGAACAGCTTTTACCAGCGAGCAGCTACTCGAACTCGAAAAGGAGTTTCACTGTAAAAAATACCTTTCTCTGACTGAACGCTCCCAGATCGCACACGCACTCAAACTGAGCGAGGTGCAGGTGAAGATCTGGTTTCAGAACCGTAGGGCCAAGTGGAAACGGATCAAAGCGGGCAACGTCAACAACCGGTCGGGAGAACCGGTGAGAAATCCCAAAATTGTGGTCCCCATCCCGGTGCACGTCAACAGGTTCGCTGTGAGGAGTCAGCATCAACAAATAGAGCAAGGGACCAGGCCATGAACTGAGATGAAAATCAAAAAAAAGAATATTATTAGAAACACTTGACTCTAGGTTCCACTGATTTGTTGAACGCATGAAGCACAAAAAGGATGTTCCAATTATTTTGTCTGAGGGAGAAGAGGATTTACTCACAGACAGACCAATTATTTGGCAATATGCTCTCATTTTTATTTATTGTTTCTGTTAATATGTAAATATAAATGGGTAAAAACTGGTACAAATGAGCACTATGAGATGCGACTGTAAAGATTTTTTTAAGTATTTATATGTAGGGCCAAACTGTTTTGTTGGTTATGTGCATGTCCTCATTTGATGAAGCTATTCTGGATTTATTTTTTTGTTTGTTTGTTTTGTGTTTCGTACAATTTGTTGGAGACATTTGCATGTAACTTAAGGCGTTTTTTGTTTGGCAAGTGTAGAAACCACCTTTTAAAGCTATTTGTGGAAGAACAAAAAAAATGTGAAGGAATTAACGACCAAACAAGAGACAACTGTAAAGTATATTGACCTAATAAATCGCTTTATACGAAAGCTGGAATCCAGGTTGAATCATTGTTATTAAAATGTAGAGCAACAGCTGTTGAAATCATTTGATTACGCTAAAATTAAAACAAAGGTGGCCTTTACTGTTTAAACATCACGAAAGATTATTGAACAAGTTCATTAAAAAAAAAAACTACGGTCAGGCGGCTGTTTTGACTAAAAATATATCCTGATGAAACGTTGAAATTTTATCATAAAAAATATTTCTGTTCATTTATTTGGACTTAGAAGAGCTTTTTTAAAGCATTTTTTAGAGAGTTTCAGTGAGGCGTTAGAAGCACATTAATGTCTGTTTTTGTGTAATTTCATAGCTTCTGCTGCACATCTGTTAGTCTTAATTTCCTGAAGTTGCAAATTCTTTTAGAATCTATTAATTATTTATTTTATTTTATTTTTATTTTATTTTAGATACATCAAGGACCTGAGAGGTAGCAGCAGCAGTGATTGATTTCTCTTTAGGAGGCCATGTTGTCTCAACTGAACTGATGGATCCTCATTAGGCTGAGCACATTCAACACTCTGTAATGAACTTCTCTATCAGTCACTGCACCGGCACAAACAGACATCAGCTCTTTAATCTCGTGGCGCTAAAATGTTTTTTTGTAAATCGATCCAAAAAGAACTAAATATGAACAAGAAGTCATTTAATAGGACGCATTAAAGTCCGCTGTGAAGGCATAATTTATTGGTGCTGTGTCACCTAATAGATACGAGATGCATAATTTTAATACAACTAATATCCCTCAGAAATGTCGACATCTTTCGAGATTTACAAAAATATGAAGCATTTCATCTTTTGTTTCAATGGCCGACGTAGACGATATTTATAAGTTTGATTTCTAATGAATGTTATGATTGTAAGAAGCTATATTGCTCCTAAAACGCGGATTTTCTTCAGGATACATACACAGACCTGTAGCTAGTAAATGCAGTTACTCGTCTTGTACTTACAGAAACAGACCTGAGCGAATAAAAGCGGTGCTAAATGAAATCAAATCGGAAATTGTACTCTACATGCCAGCAATATTAACATAATCTCTAACCAGAAACAGCTACCCTATTACAGGAGGAAGGCTTGGTGTTTTTGTGAAAACTTTCATCACGGTCCTCGGTTTACACGCTGTCTCTGAGCTGCTTGCACAAAATCTTATGTTGGATATTTTTTTAACTTAATATCAGATGGTCTTCGTGATTCCAGAAAGACTCAGTAGACGTCAGATCACGTTTATTTATTTATCATTTGAAATATGATAATGGGGCAGGATTCCTCAGATAATTAATATTTCATGAAATTAAACTTTTGCCACAATAAGGTGGGTTTGGGTTTTTAAAAAAAAAAAACTAATCTCAAATAGCAACAGACATCTATAATCATCCTTACATTTAATTTTCCTCACGCCTCTGTTGAATACAGGCTTGACCTCAGAGCATAAACAGACACTTCATGACCCGGGCACCCATGAGTAGTAAACTTAAATTCACCGTCCACCTCATGCATTAAGATTGTGACACCCACATGGGGATTCAAGGAGTGATGATCGTGTGAAGGTGCAGTGGAAGTTTGATTATGGTCCAAGAGCTGACTAACATAGTTGGTTATTTCCACGTCACTGTGCCAGAGTGCCACAGCTATTTCAGACCCCATGCATGCGCTGCATGGAGGGACTGACGATGAGGAGCCATGACAAAACTCATGATAGGCACTGGCTGTTATCACTGAGATCCTGTAGGTTTAGAGCTGTTAGTGTGGAAAGAAATAATATTGCTGTTATTATTAATGAATTATTAACGTGCAGAAGCTTTCTGGGGGAGAGTAATGTGTAGCAGACTTGAGTTTCTCGGGTTACTGTGTTAATCCATTCAAAGTTTCTAACAGTCTGTTCTTTTTAAGCCGCACATTCAGTAAACACTTCAATCTCGAGGCTCCATATTCTGCCATTGTGCTACTTGAATCACAAATTGAAATATCAGAAGTTCTTTCCAGCAAAGACGTGTAACTATTCCCTCATTCCCACCTGCAGAGAGAGAGAGAGAGAGAAAGGGAGGGAGGAAAGCGAGGGAGCTCATTACTGGCTTGGTTGTGTGAGTGTGCAGGCTGCTCAGCGCCGACTGGAGGCCTGACTTCTTGGGAGGGTCCGGACGGTCGTGGCTACAGTGATGTATGGGCAGATGCATCAAATCGCACAAGATAAACAAGCGATGAGTTTCATCAGGGCCATCATAGCTTTAATTTGGCTGCCTAATGAGTCAGATCTAGTGGCGGAGATAAGAGTTGTCAGAGGCCCGGCTCTAATGAATTTCTTGCCACTTGTAATCAAGGTTGCCTGTCTGAGGGGGGATGATTAATGGAACCCTGGAGGATTCCCTCGGCCCTCAGCCTTCATTACAGCTAATGCATTCTCAGGCAAATTAACAGCAAAATGCAGGCAAAAGCCAACGGGGAAGGGGAGAAAAAGTAAGGGAAGAAGGAGGGAAAGGGAGAGAGTGATGGGAACAGAGCGTTTATATAAGACAAAGGAGTGAGAGGAGGGTGAAGAGGAAGATGGCACGGTGGGTATGAAGCAGCCAGGTTGGGCAGCAAGTAGGGAAAGAGAGGTCGATCACTGAGAGGATGGGGAAATGAGTATGGAGACGTGGGGCAGTCAGGAAGGGCAGGGTGCAACATGGATGTACTGCTCAGACATGATGGAGCTGGAATTGATAATGGATGTTTAAGTCTGTGGGGGATTCAGGAGAGGAGAGAGGGTCAGGGCAAGAGAGGATATAATTACTGGTTAAAGAGACTGCAAGATTGAAAAGAGGAGGAAAAACAGGGAGCAACAGAACACATCCACATCAGGACAGGCAGCAAGGAACATGTAAGATAAACATTTGTTCAGTGCCACCTTGATGCAGCATTCATATCAGGACTGGGTGCATCACTCACTGCCGGTGACCTGCGGCCAAGCAGCTTCTGCATAAGGGAAGTATGGATTTAATGTTTGCAAATATGGTCTCGTCAGGTCTTTGTGTGCCCATCCATCAGCCTCAGACCCACCTCTGCAATCTCGGAGGCAATTTGTCTGAGAAGAGGTGGGCGGCAGAGAGCCCTCCTCACTGTTTAGCAAGCCCTGATGAAATATCAAAACACACGGCGGTGCAAACAAGCGCTCCAGTCTCACCACAACAAACACAAGTGGCCGGGGTCTGCCAAGACACGAGGCATGGTAATAAATTACAAGACCTTTTTTTTCTCCCTAGGTAAGAACAGACAAGCACTAGTTTAGATATGTGCGAGCAAACCCTTTAAATTTTGACATTAAAGACCTTGAAGGTTTATAAATCTTAAATCTACAATTATTATTATTAAACAAAACACAAGAGTGTTACCTGATCTTGCAATAGTCCCACAGACTACCTTTAAAGGTTCATTTGATATCATTTTTTTTTACATTCCCTGGGTTTGATGGCCTGCTACCTTAATCTGAGTTAACTCTCAGCTCTTTGTAAACTGAACTTTTCCTCCAAATAGTTGCTCATTGGTATCGAAAGCCAAACTGGAGGAATCGTTAGATATATATCTCATGATTAGTGCATAGAGGCCAAAAAGAGAAGGAGTATAAACGAAAATAAGTTCAAAGGAATGTGAGAAGGATTCGATTTTTCATGACAGCAACCGAACACCTCCCATCTAATGCTGCTAAAGGATAGCTGGTGATAATGTTATTCTAAATTAGCCCTATTAATTTCCTCCCTCTGAGGAGACTCCAGAGGAAGGTCACTAATCCGCAAGGTGAAGTAAGCAAAGACAATACTACCCAATTACTAATAAGGAAGTTGGTTGAGAAAATTTGTTTTTAAGAGCTTTAAAGCGTGACATGGGGGAGTCGGTCTCCATTTCAAGGCAGCGCTGAGGGAGGAAGAGGAGAAACTAAAGAGAAACCAGGTGATAAAGAGCAAACAATGCTGGCCAACAGAAAGAGGAAGGGGATGAAGATATGCTGAGACAAGATTAGCAGGAAATAAGAAGTGGATTAGTGAGGGCTTGACTCCTCTGAACACAGATCTTTCAGTTTTCCCCACAGTGTTGTGCTGCCTGACACTAAGCCCAGCTCTTTATCTTAATCCTCTTTCAGCAACTGTTGGGGGTCCCTCGAGCAGGAAGTGAAGAGGGTGGTTCACTTACCTCGAGGCAGGCCTGGCTGAGTTGTTTCGGACACGAAGTTTGATGAAGGGACACGCAAAAGAGGAAACGCGACTTCTAATTTGAAAGAAAGCCTCACCTTCACCGTTAAGGCACAGCAAGACAAGAGATGGGAGAGACAGGAGTGTGATGGATAATGAGTGAGCGACACACACACACACACACACACACACAAGACAAATGCGTTGATTTCCCTAAATCCAGGGAAGGCTACATCGTTTTTATTTGAGTGTTTATTAATAGGTCAACTGTCAGCCAAGCATCCAAGCATACAACAAGTTATTCTTTAGCTTTTGATTCACGTTCTGAATGTAAAGGAATTACAATAGGAAAATGAGCAAAAAACAAAACAAAAACAAGAAAATATATTTACATACTGCATTATAAATATGTTAAATGTACATCATTATACACAAGTACCAAAGATGGTCGGTTAACGGCAAGGCCAAACAGAAGTACCTTAAAAAAATATGCCAAAGAAGAAACAAACAAACAAAACAAAACATATCAAAATACGGTTTGTTGGTCAGGAAGACCGAAAACCATTTCAGTTCAGGAGTTTGTCTTCAGATAAAAGCATTAAGCTAATATTTACACTTCATCTTGTTTTCAGGGGAAAAACAGGCAGATTTCTAGTGTTTTTTTAAAATCATCTACAGTATGTAAATAAGGGTAATCACTGTACACGCTTAACTCCTCTTACTGATCCCCTTGGACAACAAAATGCACTCAATGAAACAGGTTGGTCAAGTAAAGATCAGAAATAAGGCCAGTATCACATTACAGTACTAGTAAATTCAAAGAAGTCAGTTTGATTTCTTTTGGGGATGTCTTCAAAGATTAATTTGACATTTTATTAAATATGCTTATGCGCCTCTTGCTGGGAGGAAGACAGGAGGATCGATACGACTGTTAGGTGTGCATAAACTCCAGAGCAAGAAACCCCAGAAATATAGGGACGTATGGAGTAACTTCTTTATTAAGCCTAGTTCCATCGTGGTAACGGCTCTGTAAACAAGGTGCAATGTACCTAAGTAGAACCTTTACCAAATGTGGTTGATAACTACTTCATATGGCTGCTCTGGAAAAACATCTGTACACAATCTTCCCATCAAGAAAGCAAATAAGCATATTTTTTTTTTAAATGTCAAAACTTTCCTTTACAGTATCTCCATCGCCTGGATGAATAAAACCCTCTTTTGACCCCATGGTCATTTTCAGTAGGCTCTGAAAACAGGAATACTGTAACGCAACAACAAAACCATGTAGATAAGGTACCAAGTTCACAACTTGCTCTGTAAACAAACATTCTGCCTATGTAAACACGTAAAATCAAGATGTTTTAAAACCTCACAAATGGCAGTTTAATAAAAGGAGAAATACACCCACATTGTGCCGACTCCATCTAGTCCCACTTACTCTAAATGAGCTGGCTTATCACGTCTGTGGAATACTGTACATTTGTAATAATGCAAACTAATTATACTCGTCTCTCTATATATATGAACATCTTTGCTCATTTGAATCCCTAAATGTCTCACGTCAGTCACGTGAATGCGCGTTGTTAGCTCCCTGCTTTCGGGCTGACAGGTTCTCAGGGGGAGAGCACAGAGGTTTAAGGAGAAGGTAAAAGGCTGCTTCTCATCGACTAAGTTCAAACTTCTTATAAGGAATAAGGCAAAGGAAGAAGAACTACTTTTTACAGTGGTCTGTACATTGTTACACAGTTATGATCCCAAATCGTCACTGACAGTTTCTGTCTCCTCTCCGGCGCCCTTTCAACAACAGAAATGCCCACGAACACGCGAGCACAAACGTATCGTAGCGTTGTGTACGGACGCACACGCGCGCGCACACACACACACAGTACCAGTATATGCATTTCACAGCAACAACAGAGGAAGTCTTCTTTAGAGTACCAAATACGACAGCCTTCGGCCCCAGGAGGCGAGTGGATATTCCAGGACGCTCACGGGATGAAATTGCGCGAATCTGTGTCAATTATCAACACAATCTTGTCATTTGGGAAATTACTCCAACAAAAAGATTGTAATGGCACAATTTCACTGCTTTAATCAAACCTTTGAATCTGAATGAATTCTGATTGAAGAGGAACGCGTACAAAGCCATGTGGCTCACTGGTCATAAAACATTATGCCCTTTAATTCCTTTGTAGTCACGGACACTTTTACCCGAGCATCACAATAAGGGTGGCGAAGGAAATGACTCAATTTCACCCGATAGGAATTGTGCAATCAACTCCTTTATGATGATCTGAATCCATTTCCCTGTAAATTAAGTATCTAAATCATTTGGACTCTTTAACTATAATTGCTTTGCCTTTGTATATGAATAGTATGTCAAGAGTTTGATAGCTGTGTTGAAGACATGCATCATTACGAAAGCCTGCAACAGCCACTGATATCAAGAGAGATTTAGTTTCTTTCCCACATCAGTGTTTTGTCACTTCTAAAACTATTCTTTACAGTTTTATGTTATTACACTTAGGATTGGAAATTTGAAGGAAGTTTCTCATTCACACTGTATAATCAGTTCACATCGCAGAAGGGGAAGACATAAAAAGGAAATGTTCAAGCATTAAGGAAATGCTTTTCGTAGAGTAGGTATGAATGCCAAAGTAAGTCATTTGTTTGGTTGACGCTTAAAAAACAAAAAAGCTTAAAGCTCATCGTGATCACTTCAGACCGAGATTGAATAAATTTAACAAACAACAGGAATAAAAAATAATAATATAAAATAAACAATGTACAATGTCCGAAACCCCAAACGCTCCCGCTTCTGTCAGCGCGGTGGAATATCTGCAGTAGGTCCGTCACTCCTGATACCTATCCGTGCGTACTGGTTTTGGGTTACACAGTGTGAGAAACAGAGGAGGAAGTACTGGGAGGAGACAAGGGTGGGTTTAGGTGGGTGCTCGTCTGCAGCTGCTTTCTGGCTCCTACATGATGCTGATACTGCGGTTGAGCTCACACTGGGCATTGTTGTTGTTGATGTTGGGGTTGCGGCGGCTCATGTTGGGCGTGGGCACGGAGGTCAGGCTGCTGGTGTCGTTGGGGCAACCGTGTTGGAGTAATATGTCCGCGCACTCCTGGCTCACAGCCCGCCGAGCGTAGGACAGCGGCGTTTGGCCGCGGGCATCTCGGCTTTTCACATCCACACCGTACTGTGGGAGAGAATGGTTGGCAAGAAAAGAACAAAGGCCAAATTTAGGACATAAGCGTAAAGTACAAGTAACTACACGTTATTTTTGGCACGTCCTCTGGAATTAATGCTTATGATTTAGGTTCATTGATTAGATTTAGTAATAATGTGATACGTTTTTGATTTCCCTGAAAGCACTCTGTGAAAAGCCCTTTTTTGGTGGGGTGGTACAGTACTGTGCAGTCTTGAGCCATCCTCCACCCCCCATTTCTTTGTATTTTACTAGGAAAGTTGGAAATACAGCATATAAGAAAGACGTTGTTACATCTGAACAAGCACAAAAGCCAACATTTGGTATGAACACCTGTATGTATGACACAGCTTCTATTGGGCAAGCTTTGTACATTGTAATGACCTCCTTATGTACTGAGACCTGTTAGGGCTGATTTTCAGTCCAGTTCTTGTATACACTGTTTTCTCCTTATCTCCTCTGTACATAGTGATGATGACTAATTAAAAAATGGTTCCTTGCTAAGTTGTGAGTGCCGTTTTTATTATATTTGAATGATTCGTAAGTCAGCGTTAAGCAGCTTAGGAAAAACCCTCCTCTGAAAATGGAAGGCACGTGACTAATCCACAGCAGCCAGTGTCCAAAGAAAACCCTTGAAGATCTTCAGAAAGCCTGGAGAACTATTGCTCAAGACCACTTTAAAAACATTACAAGAAAGCCTGGATCTTTGAAACAAATGAGGGGTGATTCAAGACTTTTGCTCAGCACTGCATTGAGTCATTATGCTGGCTAATCAGAGGTATATTACAATTTTGTGTGAAAATACTAATATTCTATAATATTTTGCCTCCTACATTTGCCTTCCCCCAAGGTTCTCCTCTTTTTTTTCACATTGCCAAATGAATTCTTCCATGTTGTGAAATTATGCCCAGTTACTCACTGAAATACCTCTGTTGTCCATCCAATTCAAAATGCCACCTAATACTAAGTACTTAAGTGCTACTATTTATACCAAAACATACAATGAAACAGTAGTTTGTGTAGATTTCCAGATAATTTCCCCTAAAATCACTTTTGAATTACTTTAAAATCATTTAATAAGTAAATTTAAAAATAATTTTTCCATGACTGACAGTTGCAAATGCTCTGCTGTGAAAGCAGAATTCACTGCTTCAAATGTTCATCCACCTTTAACAATGCTCCCAACAACGCTCAGTGGAGCCCACTCACCCAGATGAGCAGCTGTGTGATGACTACATTGGCCATAGCGCACGAGAGGTGCAGAGCGGTGCGTCCATCTCCATCCCCGTAGGTCTCATTAACCTCCTCCTTGGTGCCATGGGCCAGCAGCAGCACCACCAACCTCAGGTCATCCTCCACCACCGCCCGAAGCAGCTGCTGCCCCAGAGGCACATCTGACTGGGGCAGTCCCACCAGGAACAGCTTCTGCTCGTACTTGGCTCGGATCCAGCGCTCCTTCTCTTCCCTGGAGGGAAGGAAATGACAGGGGCAACGCAGGTCAGGCAGGGTGAAACATGACGAAGACGCTATGAGCAATTTCGCACCCAAGTTAAAGAACTTTCTCGAAACGTATCTCATAATTCAGAGGCCTTGACGTAAAGGCAAAGACATGTACAAAAGGAGAAATGCAGACACACAGGGGAAATATTAGAGTAATTGGCCTAAGAGACTCACCGGAGTGCAGTGACATTTCTAAATTATTAGAGCACAGGAAAGTGACTAGCCTTCACTATCACAGTGGGAAATAATACAGCAAGATGTGCTGGAAAGATGAGAGAATGCCAAAGGGTGTGACGCTTTGGGCAATATTCCAGTTTCTAGTGATTATGGTCGTCAGCATGACCGTTAAAGCCTGGCCAGCTTTCTAAAGGTTACACATCCTGAACAGCATGTCTGCTGTGGACAATACGGGAAGGCGGGGGACGTATTTTTATCAGCACTGTCGGCTGTCAGTCTGAACTGGTGGATCCCCTCCACAAAAGAGGCAGTGTGTCTCAGAGCCCCAGTCTCCCTTGGGGTGGCTGGGCCCTGAGTCAGATCGATGGGGCTGAATGGCAGCCAGAAAGGGACAGTGGGATGTGGGGCTCCTTCACTCCAGCCCGCAGCAGAGAATAGAGGATGAGGGAAGGCTCCATCCTCTATCACCAGGCAGAATTCTATCTATTGCTCTCCATCTTGACCCCCCATTTCATTCTGTGCCCACATACAAACTGTACAAATAGGAAAGGGGGAGAAAAAAAAATCAATATCAATACGCAAATGACTGAGCATGCCCAGTGTGGTACTAACCCGGTGACCCTGTCAGTCGGTGTGATAAGAGGAGCAAAAAGAGGCTGTTGTTTGGATTTGTGGGTGAGTGACAGAACGGGGAAGGTTTGTAAGGATAAGTTAAAGCAGCAACGCTGGCTAGAGTGACAAGGCTCTCATGGGACTCTCTATCAGCGGGTGGAGGCATAGCAGCAAGTACAAACGGACACTCTAACTCAATTCAACTGTATTTCATCATCAAATAATGGCCAGCTTTCATCATCATTTATTAAAAAATTACCTTTGGATGAGAAGTGGAAGAATCTGTCTCTACACAGTGAATAACATTGTGTATGTATCAGCTTACTATAAAGACCTGGTTTACACAAATGAAGTAAGACAGTTCTACATGCTCTGGTTTAAGCTATCCATCATGTAAGATTGAATTTATGAGTTTTGTTAGTTTATCTGTTAATATTTTCCTCCCTTTTCTTCCCCTCGCCAATTTCCCCACAAACTGAAATCCCCAAACATAGCTCACAAATATTTTTCTTTCCCGAACAGCTGGATATTTCTTGGACAGATTAGAAATCTGTGGGTTAATAATAATAATAATAATAATTGTATTTTTATAGCACTTTTCAAAAAATAGGGTGCTTTACAGTATTAATAAAACTTACGCAGTGAAGATAAGTACATATATTGAAACATACAGACACGTAAACAGACTTACGGTCAGACACACATACGTGAAAATAGTTGCAAAAAAATGGCCGAAAATAAAAGGGGAAAAGTTTAAGGGAGCGCTAACCAATAAAAAGTCAATTAAAGCAAATAATAAACTTTTGAAGCACACACTAATTTATATCAGCAGAAGTGCATTCCCTGCGTTCATCATAGGAAAGGAACGTTTATACAAAGTGTTTTTCATCAACAGTGCAGCTCTATGGTATGGTCAAATTTTTGGCTACGCAGATAATGAAAAGGATAATTTCACTGTTGTTTTTAATCTATTCACAGTATTTTAGCAACAGATCCTGTTAGCGAAATCTCAATCAGAAACAACCATTTTAAAAACAGCAACCAAACTTCGCCACTACTTTTTATTGCCTTAGCAGCCAGGTGTCGAGGCTGCCGACTTACCGCAGACAGCAACTGTGTTCAGACTCATATGTCAGCTGCCAGGCTTACTTCACAAAGCAGTCAGTCTTGCACAGAGCAGCCTGGCACCCGTCCTAACTACAGGAGTTAAGGATGTGATGAAAAAGGGGCAAGTCTTCTTCTATCAGCACCCAAGCAGAGATTGATTAACTGCAAAAAAACCCAGCAGCTCATAAAGCTACTTAGCCCGCATCTCAAAACAGCCTTAAAGTAATTGCTCCCATAGACACATGGGTACATTTTTTTTTCATTATGACCTCAAAGGGAATGTGGTAATGTAATGTAATGCAGCAATGACGGAGAAAGCCCCCCCCCCCCAGCATAAGCAAATCTTTTCTTTAGGCAAAGGGTATTCTGTGAACAACAATACAGCCCTAATAGCAGGCAATTGCTGTGGCTCAGTTTTATGGTGTAAGACCTCCATCAATCCCTACTCAGTCATTATGTGGGGACAAGCCGGTTAGCAAATCAATTGGCCTTAGAATCGGTGGTCTGCTCAGAACAGGAAGGGGCCGTCCTGCCGTCCACCATTATTTCCCTTCTTTACAGCCAAAGACATTTAAGTTTGTCAGAAATCTGACTGACTGGCTGTAATCCCGAAGGCAAACTCTACAACCTTTAACAAAAATCTGAGCAGGGTTAAAAACAACCTGTTGTCCAAAGTTTGCTTCAGAGAGCTGGACGCTGAATGAGATGCTGAATCCGTAAAGCCCAGTGAATTGATATGAGCTAAATGAGGCAGAAAGTTAGCACCAAGATGTGAAAACAAAAAGGCTGAGGAGAGCCATTAGGAAGACGTCAACAACTCAGAAAGGAGCCCTGAGGGCACTTTGTTAGCCCTCACTACGAAATCAGCCCTGGAGACCTGCAGAAAAAGGCCTCGCTCACTGCTGATGCTGTGCTTTAAATTCAGCAAGAATAGACAGACCAGAAAAAAAAGCTAGAACAGCCAGGCAGTGGTTTAAAAAAAAAAACAACCCTCAGCTGCTGCCACTTGAAAGAGTGTGAAAGGAAGTGAAATGGTAATCCCGCCTCTGTCTTTTGTTTGAAATTGAAAAACAATCCAAACAGAGGCAGGGTTTAGACAGTCGGGGGGGGGGAAACTGAGACCCTTGAAAAGGACACTTCCTCACCGCAGGAGGAAGAAAAATAAAATCAGCAGATTTCGCATGTCAAAGTGCCAGGACAGAGTAGCAGGGGAGGTAGAGAGGGAAAGGAGAGTGAGTTTCACAGCATGGGGGGGAATTTTGAAAATTGAACTGATGGTTAGTTCTCTATATACGAGCAGACATCTAAGCACACAGACACTAATTTCCCCACCCAGGCTCGAGCACATAGTTGTTCTAAATTTCTCTGTCGCTTAGGGATTAGAGGGGATCTTAAGGTTCCCAATAAAAATGCCTGCGCCTCCAACCAAAAAAAGAAGAGGTGTTTGCTTCGCTGCAAACTTCCTCCGTCATCCAGAGTTATCTCACGGCCGATCACTGCTGTTTAACTTTCTTTCGCTGGCTTTGATTCCAATGTAATCTTTGGGCAAACATCAAAACACTTACTGACTCTAAAGTGGAAATGGGATTCCTGCTTAGAGCTGGTGTCCCCTTTCATTTTCCTATGCGAAGCCCACCTAGATAAAAGCAGCCTTAACAGTGGAGAATGGCCTCTTTTATAATTCTATTAGAGCTCCGTCCCTCCAGCTCTCTGTTGAGCAATGGATTCTGACCCTGACTTAATTAAGTGGCAAATGGCAGAATGATTCTCCTAAATCCAGCCCACGGAGTCAAGAACACGTGACTGAATTCAAATAAAGAGGAACAAACAAGGATAATTAGTCAAGCCTGAAAGACAAAGGCAAGCAGGAATTTATAGGAAGGGAAGGGAAACTGAGACAAAGCGGGTGGAGCCAACGGTGGAGGAGCCACAGGAATGACCAATCTGAGTGCCTGCAATAGTGGTGCCTTGGCCTGGAGGAACAGGAGGATGGCCATCGCACATCTTTCACATGCCGAGTCCTCCTAAACTATCAAAGCGTCTAAGCTCCTCCCACTCGTCCATGATCATCCAGAGTCACTGTGGATACATCAAACAGACGCACTGAAGGGTGGAAATGGCAGAGGGAAGGGTCTTTGGGTTTGACCAGCCTGAACAGACTTCACAGTGGGGGTGGGCGACTTGTATGGGACCAATTCCCATGCAGCCAGCAGCTTCACTTCCACAAACCGAGGGGTGGGTGTGTGTGCGTGTGAGGGGAGAGTGAGGAAGAGGGGCAGCAGCAGAAAGACAGAGAGGGGGCTCAGAGGGAAACTACTGAGATGAACAAAAAAAAAAAAGAGCACACAACAGGGAAAGAAAGCTGGGCCCCAAAGCATCAAAGGTTGCTAAGGGCAAGAAATGAAGGAGCAACACAGTAAACGCCACAGCAAGAGTGCTAAATAAGGCCTCCTATGGTCCAGCGGGTTACACTGTAGACACGGTGTGCTCTGCTCTGAGAATAACAACACAAAAGAATTAAGACAAATATTTTACAAGTGGAATTGATGCTGCTTTTCTCGCTTCAAGAGTGCGGTCTGAACAGATGACCAGAATTCAAAAGGTTGTTGTGTTGGGCTCTAAAGAAAGGCCAGTGGAAAAGCATCTGGCTGCTGTAGGCAGGCAGAGGGATGAGTTGAATATATTGTGACATTAATGAGGTTGTCAGCCTCCTCATGATGGAGTGGCTGTGTTTTTGTGCCAGCAAGACTAACACCCTTAAATGCTCATGCTGTTAACCCCTGCTGAACCCTCGCCTCACATACAAAGCTGAGGGGACGACGAGCACATGCCCCCCCTTAAGTGTGCGTCCCAGTGCACGCAGGTTTTAAAAAAAAAATCTCGATCACATAAAGCAGTTGGGTTGGATCCTTTTTTTTTTATTAGTCTTTATTTTTTAATGCTAACAATATGGAATCTTAATTTCATGGCTTAGGCCCCTTCTTCAATGAAGCAGTCCTTCCTCTATGTCCACCTGGCCCTGAAACCCGGTGGCATGTGGGCAATTAGTGACTACAGTACCACTTCTCCCACACAGGGCTAATTACTGACCTGTGGGTTTCATTTAGAGAGAAACAGAGGCAGAGGACATGGTAAGGCCCAGTCATTCATTTGTCTTAATTAATTACTCTTCCTCCACCGGGGCTCCTGGCAAGGCCAACTATTCTAAAATCTCTCTGGAGAGTTGGTGTTCCCGCACTCGTAACCTGTGAGTAGCCTGGAAGCTTTGCTCCATGTTTTGGGAACAAATATGCAGCACAGAGGCCAATCTGGTGAGATCCTAAAACAGAAGTTTATGGCTGATATTATTATTATTATTTAAAGCAGCAATAAAGAACTTGGCAGGGCACGCCAAGGTGGCACTGCTGGAGCAGAAGGGGTTAAAAAAAGGCAACGGGGCCAGGTTTGGAGAGGTTAGCGGTGTGATTCATTTTTATTACCACGCAGCCCCTGCAGGCGGCAGGAGTGGCAAATTATTTCTGAAACAAAGTGGAGGGCTCTCATCAGAGCTATTACCTGCCTGTGGCCGAGGGCAGCGCGGAGCCTACAGAGGGTGACAGTGAGAGGCCCACGTCAGTGAGGGATAGCCGTCCACATCCGTCCACGCTCCAGGACATCTCCCCCAAATGAGTCTTGGTGTCTTGTGTATGTGTTTCATTTTTTTGTGTGTGTGTGCGCGGCAAAGGATAGGGGTAAAGTTAACCGCGAGACCTCTCCCACAGTTTCCGTAAAAATAATCTGTAGTGTTTTTCTATCACAAACATGCCACGCAATTAGAGGTGACATGCAAAACACAACGACTCCCAGGTGCTAATTAAAAGAACAACTCCCCTGCAATATGCTGACTGCAGAGATCAGCCACAATGCACAGCTCCCGCAGATTTATTATCACACATTTAACTGTATCCTGGCCAGATCTGACTTCTGCTGTTAGCATGTTGGCACTACTTGATACTGAAGAAGCTTTACCGCTCTACCAATAAATAATTATTTATAAATCTGCTGGCTGTAAGGCGTTAGCACAAGAGAAGTTTAGTTAATCGAACTGCTTTCCTTGTTTCGTTCTGGGAAGAGATCCTATAAGATGAGGACTAAAAAAACTGAAGAGAACACGAAAACCAGCAGACTTGGTGGCTCATTAGAACCTGAAAGCCCTGAGCATTTATTGGTGGATCAATAGCAGTTATAACTGCATTATAACAAGCCAAAGAGACTTTGTCTAACATGCCTATTCCAAAAATATTCAAATTTAACACAAACTTAGAAAACATTGAGAAATATTTATCTAATGATAACAAAAATCCTTTAAACGCACGCATACTGGTGCGTGGGTATTTATTTGTGAATTACATTAATTGCATTATTCTCACACGGACAAAAAAGTCTAGTTAATAGCTCATGCTTAAAAAAACAAAACTACAGCAAATAAATTACTACCATTGTAAATGATGCTTTATTGGTACCTTGCATTCTTCTGCAAAAGCAGGTAATCCTACGTACATATCCATGCATATTAACAAGCTTTCTATTATGATGTCTGTAATCATTCTATTCTACGCCAGCAATTGCACTGCTGTGCAGATCCGCGTACGACAAATCTATATATTGTGTTCTTTCGCACCCGAATATCATAAGCTAAAACAATCTTGTGGATGAGTGCTTTTAAGTTAAATCTCAAAAATGCAAAAGGGGTAAAACTAGTCTTGCAGGAGACATTCTATCAGACGCCGACTTGATATTCAGGTAGTTACTGAATCGTTTAGATTAGGTGTCACTAATGTTTAGTAGAAGTCAGGAGCTATACACCGCCTGCCTGGGTGCCATCACAAAGCTGCTGCATGTCACCGGTGTGACACAATTAAAATTCTCCCTTATGTGCGGTGCTCAATTTAAGAGAAGCACCCACAGAAGTGGCGTCAGAATTCAATAAAAATAATAAAAGAAACCGCATCCCTTTAAATTGGTTTGAATTCATCATTCAGGATAAAGCAAAATAGTCCGATGCAAAGCAGAGCAGAAAGTCCAGAGCATCTAAATGACCGGTGTCCATATATGATATTTCCAAGTTCTGTTTTTTGGCTAAAGATTAGTTATCCTGCAAATGAGATTTATTGTTTGACAGTGAAAACTAATGGAGATGCTGCTCCGGGATAAGATCGGATTTTTTAGACAATGAAGAACCTTCCTGCTCGAGGCGACGTGCGACTGACAGCGGTAGGGAGAGAAATCAACATCAATAATCTTTCATCAAGTCCACAGTGGAGCACTTTCACACAGATACCATTCAATAAACAACTGTAGGCCATCATTCAGGTCTGAACTGGCCGGAGAGTCAGAGAATGAATCCAAGAGGAAAAATAACTGAAAACTTGCTCAATGTTGCACAGATAATTTTATGTGGGCCAACTGTGAGCAGAAAAATATGCATTTCCTAAAGAAAGTAGTTCATAAAGGATACAATTTGCAGTTTTACAGCCTTATGCTGCTTTCTTATTAAGAGATCTAAGCTATAATAAGTGATTTCAAAGGTTAAACTCACGGGAAAAAAAGACTATGAATTAGCAGCAATGGAGGTTACACTCATAATTAATGAAACTCCAACAGTAAGTTTTGGCATGTAACAACAATATGTTATAAGTGTAATATTAACTGTTTATATGCCACTTTTGGCTTGTAAATAGCGCCACTGCAAACAAAGTGTGCACTGGCCTAAAATGCACGCATCAATCAAGCCATAGTATCACCCGAAGGTTGGAATTAGGCCGGGAACTGATGACCGTTTCCACTCATAATCACTCAAGTGCTTATTAGAGTTAGAGGTTTCAACCGATTAACCTATTTGTAGTCCAAAATACTACAAAAATAAATGACCAGCTCATCAAGCTTTCATAGCCCAACGTGACATCTTCCTAATACATTCTCTTCCACACCAACAGTTTGAATTTCACTAAACGGTTCAGGTACTTATATCGTGCTTTAGTTGAGCACTCAAACCACTTTCTACTGCAATTCACCCTCTTAGTGCTTTTATGTAACATTTACACACTCAGACTCAGGGTTCAGTATTTTGCCTGAGTATATGTCGACACATGAATTGTAGGAGCTGTGGAATCGAACCTCTGACCTTCCAACCAGCAAAAGACCCGGTCTATCTCCTGAGCAACAGCTGCCCCAGTGCAATAGTCCTTTCATGTTACAAAGTAGGACCATTATAAAGTGAGAGCGGTTCATTTATGTTTAACACATTCTTGCTATTTAACATATTATACTGTCTTAATCTACTAAGCATTGGCTTAAAATGACAAAACAAAGATGTTACACCTCTAAAGTCTGTTACATTAAAATTTTAAACCTAACGACTATTTATGTTTCATTATAAGACAGGTTGGCCACATTGATTGGATACTATCAAAATACATCTACATTATCAAGTTGGTATGAAAAATGTTTTCTAATTAGTTTGCAATAAAAAGGGTCCCTGTAATGCCATATTGTTTTAATTTTATTATATATTTAATTAAAATTTGGAAAGATTTTAGTCTCTGAAATGTAAAAACAAAGGTAATAGCAAAGAAAGTAACCAGACGTCCTGCTTTCTTAAAGTTACAAAAGCTGTGATGTTAAACAGTCTAATGCCACCAGGGAGACCCTACAGACAGTCTCTGTGTGACAGACAGAGTGATGACCCAGGCCTGTATGATGGATATGTGACAGGGCAGCTTGGGACCTGAGGGCTTGTCTCTCAGGGTGGGGTTTAGCCCTAATGGTGTGCTTAATTACCTGCACAGCCACACAGCAGATCATTAGTCAGGCGGGAACGCTAGGCCTCACCTGTCACCAAGAGATAAACAATCCTCCTACCAGATCTCAGAAGAAAGGGAAAAGGTATTTGTCGGGGTGGGTTAGGTTAGGACAGGCGTTCACAAGGTGAATGGAAAAGTGTCATTTAAGAAAAACATATTAACAAGAGCCGCTCGCCAGGATCTAAAGTAAAACACACTGGCTTTGCAAACAGTGCTGAGAAAGTCCCAGACTTATCGGCACATGCTGGATCTTAAAAGAAAGCCTGAACAGAGAGCTGTTTCAGATGTGGTTTTGGTTTGCTAATTTTCTCTTGATTAGTACTTACATATCAAATGACAAACATGATGGATATGAAGCTAGTCAGAGCATTTATCAGGCAAGTGCAAAATGATGTCACATTCCTCTGGTGAAATATGGTTTTCCAGTGGACAGAGGGTCCGAAGCATAACAGAGACTGTTGATAACAACAAAGCAGTGACTGATACAAGAGAAGCACAGCGATCAGTGTGTACAGGATGGACTGACGCTCAGACATAAAATACTGTGTTTTTGGCTCAATAGGCTGACATTTATGGACCCCTGGTGCTTCTTATGGAGCATTTTGCGATGTGAATTGCCTCTGTTCAAATGTGGGTGGCTAATAAATGGCAGCTAATGGAGAGAAGACAGCGCTGCCTTCTCATTCTATAATCTCAGCACGCTTCATTAAGCAGCACCTTTATTTGTAGAAGTATGCTAACCTGGTGCTGTCGCTCCCTGGCTTGGTGTACCCCTCCAAAGCGCCTTCCCACACACTGTTGGCCATTGCGTTACCGATGGCAGTCATCACCATGCTGAGCTCCACCGGCCAGTCGTCCAAGTCAAGAGAGCGCACGCGAGACAGGTGGGTGCCCAGGTTCCTGTGGATGCCTGAGCATTCGATGCACATCAAGGCACCCAAGTTCAAACTGGCCCAGTCGGGGTCTGCGTGACAGAAGATAGGAATTAATAAAAAAATTAAAAGTAGTAACAAGAGATGCTTTAAAAGCCTCACCAGGAAATTTGTGATCAACCTATTTTGAGTATGGTTTAATGTTGGTAACCTCTTCAGGGAAAAAAACCCAGTACAATTAAATTAGTCAGACAAGAATAATCAGTATCTGCCAAAACTGCAACATGCAGTACTTCTAACAGTGCTGAATACTAGTTCTAACTTGAGAAAAGCTGGTAGAAATGACTCGATATCAAATAAAACCTTTGCAGTTGCTGTTTGGTCCCCAAAATGTAGTTTTTTGCAGCTTCCCAAATGTAGCAGAACCTCCAAATGCAAACCCAACCCACTTTTATTATCTAATAATATGACTTTATAATTTTCATATAGCATTACCAACTCTCCTACAAAGTGTTTAATGTTCTAAGTGGAGTTTTTTGTGCCCTGTTGCACTGTAGGTACATTGTATGGAAAGTTTTTAAAGTATTTTTTGACAAAACTAAGGAATCTGGTTACAGGAGTATGAAAACTGAAGTTTTTTTTTGTTTGTTTGCTTTTACGCACGACGTGATAAATTAAAGATTAAAAAACCCTCTCAAAATCTTGGCCTCTACTACCTTTTGTTATGTCACCAAAAGAGGGGAAGAATGTTGGTTTTTTTGTCTTTAATCTGTTCCTTTAATATCTGTATTTCATATGTAATAGACAATGTGTTCAGATGTGTTTTAACCGTAGAGAGTTATACTCACTTGGTGCGTCACAGTCCACACAGAAGCTATTCCCCCTCACGTTTCGTATGGACTGAATGGCCATTGCATCACTTTGGCTGCCCAACCGAGACTGTGAGAAATGAAGGTGAGAATAAATCAACGGGAACTAATTATTTCACTGGCGATCACGAGAAAGCAAACAATTATAGCTGGACTCAAATTATAGACAACAAGGAAAGGGAGAGAGAAAAGGTTTTTCAAAGTCTCGGGAAAAGACACAGGCAGAGAAAATATGAATATGAAAATTAGGATGTGTCTCCCCAGTATGCTGACACAAGCCGTGTTCTATCTCTGATGTCTGTCACTTCTAATAAGAGATCCCCCACACTGCGGTGCACCTGTCTGACAACCTCCCACATGTGACAGCTTGAAGTGGGGGAAGAGAGGAGGGTGAAGGCGTGATAAAGGTTGGAAAGAAGGAGAAAAAGAGGAATGTAAATTAAGTGGGAGAAATGTAGCACAATGATGACGATCATGACGATGTTTTGATTAGATGATAATCGCCAACCCTGTCCAGTTCCTCTGATATTCTTTATCCTTCATGACAAACTGTACCTTGTTCTTTATGCTTTCACAAGACTGCAGGCTGGCAAAAATCTGGCTCTCGATAGCTTGGACCCACAGTTCCCTCTCCTCATACGTGGACGCTTCAAAGTTCCACGTCTGACCCGTCAACGACACAATCACGAACTCAAAGGAATCCTCTTGCTCTGGAAAACAAAACAAAAAAGACACACAATATATTAGTATTGATTAGATAATTAGATGCTTGGCAAGAATGTGTATAAAACATCTTTTGGTCATTTTAGCCTCTTTTAACAATAAATAGTACAGATAGACAAGAATTATTGTATGAGAGTGACGTGCTGCAAAGTTGACCAGCTAATATATTAGCTTGACTTGACACTGATAGTCATGAATTAGACCTAAAACAGATGATTTGAAGTTCAGCTCAGAAATCGGTGACACATCCAACGTTAAACAGAAAAATTGTGTTGGTGGTTCAACTGGAAACACATTGCTAAAAGACAATCAGAAACCACTGGAGACTCAGAAAAAATACTTATACCGCATCAGGGTCACAGTCACTGCAAAGTTAGCTTTATAACCTGTAGAGTCTCGAGCATTATCTGCTTGAGGTTGCTAAAGTCAAGGTCACCAACTTTCACCTCCCCTATTTGAGCTCTACAGAAGCTATCTGTGCAAACACATCGATAGACATTGCTTATTCTTTGAGTCGTCAACCCTTCTGTAATCAAAGATGCAACTAAATGATGCTTTATCAGAGGCAATCTCACCAGCAGACACATATGTTCTCTTAAAACTCTGGGATTGGTCAACTCTTGCCTACGTCTTACCAGAAAGACTAGTCTGGGAGGCAATTGTCCTCTACAGTTTTTGATATGAGGCTCTGGCACTGGTCAGGTTAGTTAGAGCAGAGCACCAGAAGAATGGCATTACAGCTCATGTTCTTACTTCTTAAAGCAGAGGCTGCTTTGTTGACAGTTACAGAGTTCATTGCTTAAAGCTGACAATGTGCATTTGATAAAATGATGTTTGTACAGCTCTCACTTGAATATGATAGCCCAAGATTAGCTCTCGATCTTTATTAAGCATCCTCTGGATCAAAACAAAAAGTAGAGGAGGAAAAATATCAATCCTGTTCCTTTTTTTTATTTATGTGTTTTAAACTTAAAACTTTAAAAAATGCTTCCCATGATAATATAAAATATATCTATAATCATCTGTGGATTCACTTTAATTATATTATTTAGCTATGATTCACTATACGAATGTAAACAATGAAGCAGACAAACAGTGGCAGTATCAGATGTGATGCTTAACATTTTGTTGCAAGTTTTTTGTGCTATATTTGTTTTTCCTTTTGAGCATTTTAAAGCTAATGTGGTACTGCTTTCCACGTGTGTTCTTTCAGGAGGCTTACTAATTGTCAACAAATGTCCGATATATTTATGGATGTGGAGTAAGCAGCCGCTCCAAACCAAATGCGACATCTAACTCGTGGACACAGTCAGAATTTTGCATTTCATGGCTTTGATTTGAATAACTTAAGCAGTGACTTCACTTGCTCAACTCATAGAAGAGACTATCTTGGTTCTCACCATAGGAATTTGATACTTACTTTGACTAATCGCACTACAACTTTAATGGCACACCCAACTTTGCCCAGTTCTTTTTTGGAAATGGTAATCTAATTGTTTGTGTGTGTGTGTATAAATATTATTTTAATTAACACACCATTTTGGTAAGTTTTTATAAACAGAAACTGAAAGGGACTGCCTCAGATCTGTCACTCTAGCCCCAGTCACAGAGGGAACCACTAGTCAATAAGCAATAATGTGTGGGAGCACCACTTACATTTAATTCCTGTGACACACCTGCCATTCATTAGAGTGATTTTGCACAGTATTATAGCAGGACTTAAATTAAATCTTAGGCAGCTTAAAAATGTGTCTAGAATTGAAGATTTAGACTGTCGGAACACCAAATAAGGCCAGATTTGGGTTTCATACAGAGTATACCAACACTAGCTTTCAAAGAGTTTTTGTAGATGTTTTGTACCGTTTGTAAATTAACTGCCACATTTCCAGCAACAGTTATTAGTCCAAGCTAAGCAGGTGCTTATAAATATTTGTGTCATATATCCTTAAAAATTATTTTATGAATCGACTGAATGCTAAAATCTACTACCAAAAATTTAATCCTTTATCCCCCAATTTTTCCTCCTCGTCATAACACACAGATACATTTTTAAACCAAGCTGCTTTGAATCCATTTTTCCATCCATTCACTGTGTTTAACTAAGATTTATGAAAATGTCACCTGTCGTTTGCAAAGAAGAGGTCTGACACAACATATGTTCCAACACATGCTGTAATGATTCTGCTGTTCAGCAGCAATTCATTAACTCTGTACTGTACCCGTGTAACGTCTCTGGTCTCTGCACATGCTTGAGCTCATAGCCAAATGATTTGTAATTACCTAATTATGTCTATGCAAATAGTCATCTCATTTGCATAAACCATGCTTGGAGGACTGGAGGCAAATAGACACAAGAGGAAGGGTTTTTTCTTCTTCTCCTCCTATGTAGCTTTTATCCAATGGAAATAGTTCTACTGATAAGCTATCTGTGCTGCTGTTTACTGCCAAACGTGTTGACATAATTTACCATTAAATACGTTTAAAAGTTTTTTAATTGCACAGATGCATTGATGCTTTTACTGCAATCCATTCCGAAATCTGAACACGAGGAGATGCTTAACAATAAACGGCTTCTGTATGAATTATAAAATGAGGGCTATCACATGGCGATAAGATTGTCAGGCAAATCATCTAATCAAAGAAATTACTACTTTTTCCCCCATTCATAATCAATTCACCCTCCTTGCTGTGAGACACGAGCCTGTGCTGTTAAATGACAGATGTCTGATGGACGCCACTAATGTAGCGATCCCTGTGCCGCGGCGGAGGGCCATCTCTTCAGGGGGAAAGCAATAATCCAATTAGCTCGACGCCGACTTCAATTATCTGATTTAGTTTGTGGAATCGACTTCAGGTCACAGAGAATCAATAAAGACTTGGAAGCCTCTTTATTTAGACTTATAGTAGAAAAAGTCTTTATGTTGGTGTGACATAAGAAAACACTGATGGGATTACAATATTTTTAAAAAAGATAGAAGCCTACCATTAAAGATAAAGAAGCAAATAGGTGAAAGAAAACAAAAGAAAATTGCATTTAGAAAAAAGAATAATTGCAAATCCCACAGTAGAAATCCATTTTTCTTGTCAAATATACCTTTAGGTACAATAACTAATGCATTTGATTATAATTTGTGATTTTCAGACTCAAATGTTGTTGTACTTGTGTTTTCATCTTTTTAAAAACCTGAACAAAGCTAATTATTCTGTTGGCTGCCCAGGCAATAAATTGGAGGCATTAAAACACTTTCATTATGGAGATTAAAAAAGCGACGGATGGCTGGTTTCTTAAACTGATGAGTATACAAGGCAAAACAAATCCAATTCTCCATGCATAGTAATGCACACACGTGAAACATGGTGTAACCACGGAGGTAGCACACGATTGTATGCAGCAGGAATCTTTATGTGTGACCCATGTACGGTCATTACGTGCAGCTCAACTACACAGTGCAGCAATTCAGCTCCACGTGAGCCGAGGTCAGAGTGTTTCAGTAAATCTGAGCGTGAACCGAGTGTCAAAGGTATCGCTGCTATCTCGCAGGCACCTGCAATGATGAGCTTGTACAAGCACCATTAGCGCTTCTGTTATTACTCAATTGTTGCGGTTAGCACACGGCTAACAGAGGAACCATCACCTTCTCACATTAACATAAGCATTAACCTCCTGACCATATCAATCTGGGAGCCTAAGGTCAACAAGTTCTTGCCAATTAGAAGTAAATTACCACAGCTCTGCAAGTGGGCGGACGAGGAAGAACACAATTTAAAGCCAATGGAGGCACAAACTGTGAGGAATGACCAAACTATGATTTCCCTCAATTAGCATGGCATAATAAAAAAGAAATTATAGTGTGATGGCCATAAAGCTAAAGAGGAAGGAACAGATAAAGATACACATCTTCGTCCGACATTAAATGCATCATAAAACTGTTCAGTCACAGGTTCATTCGCAACTTGATGGCTCCTCGCAGCAACACAAAAGCATTTTAATTAGCAAAACATTTCTTCAAGATACAAAAATAGATGGCAAATAGTTGTTGTTTTTTTACATATTAACTACACTGGACTTACATGAGTTCAGATTTTTTAAGTACCTCTGCTTAAGTAGTTACATTGTGTAATTACAATGTAATTACAAAGGAATATACTGTACCCCCCTCCCCCTTTTTGATTTCATATTTAAGTTATATGTTAATGTGAACAAGTGAAGTTATAAGACAGACTGTGAGCAACCATCGTTCATCTTAGAGAGACGGCTGTTTTTCTGACTTGTTATGATCCTGAAAAACGTGTTCAGGCATTCATCTGTGGCAGGCTCGACTACCGCAGTAATGTAGTCCAGTAAATATTCTTCCAAAAACATTAGAGGAAGGCTGCAGCTTTTCCATACCACTGCTACAAGGTTATTAATCACATTTAATGATGGAAAGCACATGATGCCAGTTTTCTCAGAAGTACACTGCTTCTCACATTCAGCCTGAAATGACCAAGTTACACTGATGCCAGTCGCTTTATGTGCCAAACTGTTCAATACCAAACTGTCAGACATGCATTATTCCTCACAGAGACAAATTAATTAGGGATACAGCAGTTATTGTCAGTTCCGCCCAAGCTTCAACTTGCTACGTTCTAATTTTAAATTGTAGAAAAGCAACCAGTACGGCTCGTTGCGTTATACTTTTAAAGACACACCTCTTCAATCTGACACTAGAATTGCTAAATAATAATAGCCACATCTAGAGTCACTGAAGCATATGATCATTTAATCAACATTACATCTTGGGAATACAAGTGTAGAATAAGACAAATTTAGGGTTTCAGTCAGAAAATTGTGTTTCTGTCACTCATATAAAAAGTGTGCTTTGCTGTGACATGTGTCTCGTAACGTGTAACTGCAACGCGCACAGATATAAATGCTGCCGATGGAGTCGGCCACTAGCGCAGGCTGCGTCATAGGCTCTGCATAGATTCAGCGCAGGAGCATAAT